CATTTTGGTCTGAAAACTCAAACAGACAGGTGGCTGTGTTACCAATTATAAAATCTGATTCAGTCTCTCCTTGTACCTATAAATAGCAATTGTAGGAGACTGTTATGACCCATGAGGTTCTCTAATCTCTGTCCTGTGTGTCCGTTTAAATCCTCCTGAATGAGAGTGGAGCAGATGGACCAGCCAGCCCTGTATTTCAGTTGACACGCTCCGACTGATTGATTTTTCTCTCCTCTTCTCCTCATGTGAACCCATTCCCTATGAAATGATGACCGACACAAACATGATTCACAGATGTTATTTATAAACTGGGAGGTGGGGGAAAGCAGCGGGTACCTCTGGGCCTTTCACTGATTTATACTGGGCCTGTGTTAGTCTAAAGTGTGCAGCAGCACAAAGACTGCTGGTGATGTTGGAGGGTTTGTTAGTCCAGTGTGTAATGTTTTGTCTTGGTGTGGGGAAAATGAAAACCACAATGCCAGACTGACACTCCCAATAATAATATTTACACAAACATCCCTTTGACGTTTGTGTGAATGAATGAAAATGATGTCTTGCAGTGTTGCTCATTTTACGGTAAGTGATGTCTCTGTTATGCAGTTGGGAAAACGATGAATATATATAATTGGCACCTTGTCCAGGAGTGTGTTTTCAATTAGCTCGAGTGTTACACACATGCTTGAATGTGAGACGAATCAGAGTTTTGAGTTGGAGATTTCAGCTGGATTGACTTTATTGTCATTACAACGACAGTAAGTGACGAAGTTGAGTTGGTGAGCTCATAGAGCAGCAGGACAGACAACAGGACAAAATAGTAAAAACACCATAATGTAAATAAAACCTATTGAAATGCACAAAAGAATTATTATAAAAAAGGAAATGTTACTTAAAGTGCCAACGATTTACAGTTCAAGACCAAGACAGACTGAACATATTGAAATACACAGAGTAACACAAGTAGGAAAACATTACTAGTCTAGAGACTGTTTTTGTTTATATGTTATATCAGAAAAATGATTGAAAAGTCATGAAACAGACCTTATTAATCATTAATCACATTGAGTCAAAGCCATAAGGTGAACTGTCTGATGGAAGATATGGATTTATTGCTCTGATGATGATCATGGTGGAGATTGTGTCCAGTACGTTACTTAAATCTCTGATAGGTCTTGAAGATCTTCTCAATATGAAGGTTATAGTATATGAGTCACCTCATTTTTAAAGTTATTTCTCATTTGTCTGTGTATTGGGATGCACATATGGGAATTTGATTAAGAAATCATTTAGAGATTAAGGAACATGATGGTTCTATCTGTTTTTGGCAGACACATGATGAATTATGGTTTTTCATTAGCCTGTTTCCAGACCTCTGAATTGAATTCAGTTTGCTAATCTTGAACTCATCTACAAATGTCTACATAACCAGGCTGCTCAGGCTCTCAGCGGCCCTGTGGTTCCACTCAGAGCTTCATGCTCAGTAACACGTGGAGCATCCAGTGGGAATTGTAACGTGCCCTTACGTAAATCCTCATTCGGACAAACAGCTTTTTGTGTTTGGGGGATCAAAATGTGGAATTCCTTACCTGCAGAACTCAAACTGGACCCTGGCTGGGATCGTTTTAAACTCAACCTGAAGAGTACGAACAATGGCGTGTCTATTAAAGCATTTATGGTGCTTCAATGTATAAGTTTGTGTCCACATATTAAGTTGTTTTAATGTAGAGAGTTTAATGTATGTTAAATGAACATCTAGGGACGGGCATTGCAAATCAGCTTAGGCTATAAATGCTGCAGTGTGTGGCATTTTATTATGCTACTTCCTTGTCCCTATACAAAAACACAATAAATAAATTGCCATCACGTTAATGCTCCCAATACTATCTATACTATCTGAGTCTAATATTGCCTTTTATTAGTATTATTGTTATTGCAGTAATTGTCATTGATCTACGTCTCCTCAGATATTATTATAATATATTACAGTATATGTAGTAGAGTATATATATATATTACAGTATAATGTGCTTTGATGAGCCATCCTTTGTTCAGGTTAGTCCCTCTTTGGAACCAGCTCCTGTCCAATATGGAAAATACCTGTGGATCTTGTCATTATGGATAGCAGACCCTGTCACCTTCTCTCTTTGCATACCCAGCTGGGACTCCAGATACACCCCTCCCATCATGTAAACCATTGTTGACAATCCCCCAGAAGCTATTGTACATGTGCGTTAAGTGGGCAGCTCGCCGTGTCGGCCCACGTAGGGGGAGACGGAGGGCCTGTCTCAGACAAAGACCTCCGATTGACGTCTGAACAATGGAGCGGGCACACAGCAGCCTCCTGACTGGGGGGGGGAGGGGGAGGGACAATGGGTCTTTTTCTGCAGCACCAGGGGAGGAAGAACCAGCATGTTAGCTTAGCTGCTCACAGAAATGATTGTGAACTGCTAATTCTGTTTGCAAGAAAACAAATGTGACAGGTGGTTGTGTTATTTTTTGTAAATATATTTAACCTAATTTAAAATCTAATTTATAAATATTCTTGGACTAACTAGTGTGTTTGCAAGCTTTAGTTCTCATATACAAATCATTTATACTAGAAATGCACCAATACAATACTGATATATCATTACAGTTCTAACAATCACTTTAAAAACATGTTGTGTCTGAATGGAACAAATTAAATGTTGCTATTGTTGTTGTAAAAGTTGCTTCAAATATCTCCAGACTGCTGACATTGCTGAGGTTCCGTCACCCTGCTGTAAAGTGGTATTGGACTTGTTTTATGATTACAAGTACGAGTACATAAGCTCAGTATCTTACCTGATAGTGGCATCCCTAATGTTTACTTTTTGCTGTCCATCTTTATATGCCTGCTACTGAGATTAGGTTTCTGGATTCATTACGAGCTCTCACTGCCATCCCAGTGAGTGTACATCAAATCTGCAAGGATTTATCACTGAATGATACTGATAATATTTTTTCAAGCCCCCCCAGCATTATGTCACACTGATGCCCCTTATGCTGTCTGTCCAGGACACACGGACACCCCATGTCATTGTCAGCCAGTTGTGCCTGTTTGTGCTTGGCCTGACTGACAGACAGTATGAATACTGGCACACAAATCTACACACTAGCATGAGCTAATGCCAGCATGTCTGCTCTGTTAGGTCATGTGTTACATACAAACAGTTGAGGTAGCATTGTTGTTTCTAGCTACTGCATGAGTAATTCCACCCATTGTGTTGTTAACCCTTTCTGTCACTGTGTCACACACATAAATGCATTTCAATTCATAATTTGATTCATTTATGAAAGCCCTACTTACTTTCACATTCCCCTGCACTGTGGTTGTTCCCTGTTTGTGTGGGTGTTACCATACATCAGCATTTAGCTTTTATTTCCCTGAGCCAACACACAAGTTCCTTTGCTGTCGTGACACTGGTAGAGTTGACACTGTTTTAAAACGGTTTGAGTACAGTTTACAGAAGCTTTGGAGAAGATAAGCTGGATTAAAAAGGCCAAGGCTCACGTGTATTTAAAAAGTCAAGGTTTAGAAAACACTGACAAACAGGCATCTGTCAGCAGCCTCAAGGCCTTTCAGTTGACAGAAATGATGCTCAATGCAGCAACTTCAAAGCATAACACTCTTCAGTGCTTGATTTGTACTTCTACCAGCAAGTCAGCATTTTAGTTCAACAACTGATATCTCAATATCTGACAAGTCTCTAAACAAATGAGTGCTTGATTGAGTTTATCTGGCAATTGCATCAAACCCACAATCACAAATACTTTACGTGGGCCTTTTTAGGACCGTTGTGGAATAATACGCTTTTGGCCTTGCAAGGCAGCGGCAGAGGTTTGGCAGCTGTGAATAAAAGAGACCATTCTTCTGTCAGAGACACTGGGATACTAGTCCTCTTTGGAGAGGAAGGAAGTCAGGCAGGCGGCCTGGGGTGGAGAGAGAGAGAGAGAGAGAGCGAGAGAGCAGAAAGTGAGGGTGAGCTACATTACAGCCACATAATAATGATAATAATGATCATAAAGTTTTATATGACTCAGAGATTACACAGTGTTTTGGTGCTCACCTGATACTTATGAATGTCACACATAAACCAACTATCATACACACATAAATACACACGTTGCTGTTGTGATAGCCTCCACTCTTTCACTCTTTCAGTCTTCCCACCAGACTTTGGAGCCTGGATGCAGGGATTCAGCCAACATTGATGCTGGGAATCAGCGTCAGAGTTCAAATTTATCCCAAAGGTGTTTAGTGGGGTTAAGGTCAGGGCTCTTTACAGGCCAGGCAAGTTCTTCCACACCAAGCTGGGGAAACTATTTCTTTATGGTCCTGGCGGGAAAGGGACAAACACAAACTGTTGCCACAAAGTTAGAAGCTCATTTGCTGCGGCATTAACACAAAAACAAGTTGTCAGAGCAGGAGGAGCAGAAACTGGATCTTTTCCTGGACACATTTTTGGTGTCTATTATAGTGACTTCCTTATGGAAGTGATAGAGGGTGTGATAAAAAACGCCTTCTGTGAGATCGGAACATGCAAAATTGTGATGGCTAATTGTGGCTGTAGTACAGTACTTTTTTAGTATTTACGATTTGTTTTGAGATTACAAATTAACATTTCATACTCTTGATAAAGATAATTATTTATAATATAATAATATAATTTTAATATAATTTATTTTCTTTTGGAGTTTCCTGCATGGTGGACGCAGGGAGGCAGGGGCCTTCAAATACAATGTGACTTTGATTTATATGGGGCCTGTATTGATATGTATTGCAATTTAAAACTATTGCGATTCATTATTATTGTAATGTCCTGTTTTTGAGTTTGTTTTTGATTAAATATTCTGTGTTTAATACTGGACCATGCAAACACTCATACTTACAATATTTAAAGCTTTAACACAGAAAGACGCAACAGTCCCACAACTTTCTTCCACATCTAATTTGATTATATTCCATTGTTGTGTGTCCTCAGGTTTGAGAAGGGGAGGATCTACAGCTACATCGGAGAGGTGGTGGTGTCTGTCAACCCTTACCGTGCCATGAACATCTACGGCCGCGACACCATAGAGCAGTACAAGGGCCGCGAGCTGTACGAGAGGCCGCCCCACCTCTTTGCCATCGCTGACGCTGCTTACAAAGCCATGAAGAGGAGGAACAAAGACACTTGTATTGTCATCTCAGGTAACACGGGAAGCCCCCCTGCGTGGGCCATACAAGAAGCACAGAGATGTTTTACTCTCTTGTTCACTGTTCAATTTATATACAACTACAAGTCTGAGATCCTGTTTTTTTTTTTTTTTTACCTTTATAATATAAACATAAAGTTTTGCTATAATAATCCATTGTTTCCTCTTATACTCTGATGTTTTCTCCCCTGAGAAGAGACATCTTGAAAAATATTAATAAAACCTGCTAAGTTGAAAATCAAAGCATTTTTTCTAAAACAAATATTTCATGTGTCACACATGCTGTGCAGCAGCATGGAGCATCCATGCAGAGGGTGAAGCACCACTCAGTGGTCAGAGGGAGAACTGAGCTTCTCTAAGCCCTGATATCATGTCATGAATCCATACAGAGACAGGAATACTGTTTGGTCTAATAATATTTCTGAAATCTGAAAATTGGTGTGGTGGACTGAAATAGTTTTGTGCTACACAGTAATGATTTCCAAATGAATGAGCCTGAAGCAGAAAAATAAAATGTCAATCTTTGGATTTTGCTCTGATAACAAAAAATATCAATATCATTTAAATTTTTTTATATTTACAATTTTGGTCTAAATCACATGCGATTTTAATTATAGTTTAATTTACACGCCAAACAAACTGTGTCATAATGATTAATAGCGAATATATTGATTTATTACTATATTTATTTATTGATTTATTATAAAATATTTGCCCTGTGTTCTTTATTGCAGGGGAAAGTGGAGCGGGAAAGACAGAGGCCAGCAAGTATATAATGCAATACATTGCTGCTATCACCAATCCCAATCAGAGGGCTGAAGTTGAAAGGTGAGTTGCTGTTAGTGACATAGTTTGAACCTCAGCACACTGCAGAACACTGTATGGGCACAAGCTTGGTTTGGTGAATAAACGGCAAATATTGTGAGACACGGAGGGTGTTTTTCTGTGGATTCATGTATTACACTTGTTGTGTAGCATTGATCTTATTGCACATAAAACCCTTTTATACCTTGTAGGAAGATGTGTTTTTCATATTCAAATGAGATACCCAGATACATGATAATTTAATGTTAGGGGAAAACCGTGTCAAACGTTCACCGTAGAGTGTACAAATGAAAACAAATGCTCATAATTATTTTCTTTCTACCTACAAGAAAAGGTCTTGAACTTATTTCAGTGCCTGACTTCATGGCTCATTCTTGATGATTAGATTTTCTCTCAGCCAGTGAATCATTGTTTATTACAGGTCAACTTTATTATCTTATCACAGCTATTTTAAGTAAGTCAGTGTCACATTGCAGGAATGAACACTGCCAGTAGTCAAAGTCTCATAGATCATAGTGAGATATAGTTAAAACTCAACAGCGCCATATCACTGATACCTGAATGGGCGTGGACCTTTCACTCCAGAGAAGAAATTGCACCAACATTACAGAATGGTCGTATTTAAAGTGTGTTGAAATCAACTAGATAGTTATAAAGAGCAAAGCAAGAGATATGCTTTTATTCAAAGTAAATGTAGGTCAGATAAGATTTGTGCAGTAAAAGGTTTTAAGGTCAACTTTACAGTTCCAGTTAAACAGTGCTGCTGATACATTTGACTGTATAGAATCAACTGGGTGCAAACTACCACCGCTGCACAAATCTACACACACTCTGGGCAAATCTCACGTATACAAACACTGATAGGACAGCTCTATGTCTGCTCAGGACCTCTACATGTGATTCATACTTCTGTTACTTTTTCACCTGCATTATTTGCTTGTTTACCACTGGGGGGCAGCACAACGTCCTACACAACAGTGGCACATCATCATCTCACAACGTTGATATGGTAAACATGTTAGTAAACAGTTTCCTATTTACATTAATTCTGCAGTCACTGGGCAACATTAGCATTCATTTAGAGTTGTGTTTCAACATGACAAAGTCTTTATTTGCTAAATGCTCCATTAATATTTTAATCAATCTCATTTCATTTTCTTAAGAAGGTATAAAATAAAAGGCTATAGAGGACAGATTTCAGTACTAGTGGCACAATGGGGGTCTGCAGATGGGGTTTGTTCTCACACAGCTTCACATTATGAGTCAGTGTATTACCTGGTTGTACTTAGTCAGCCTCTCAACCTGTAATATCACCCTGCCTCCTCACAGGGTAAAAAACATGCTGCTTAAATCCAACTGTGTCTTGGAGGCCTTCGGGAACGCCAAGACCAACCGCAACGACAACTCCAGCCGCTTTGGCAAGTACATGGACATCAATTTTGACTTCAAGGGAGATCCCATCGGAGGCCACATCAACAACTACCTGCTGGAAAAGGTAAAGGCGCGTCAGCTAGTCTCAGAGATGAAACGAAGGGTAGTCATACCTACTACATGGTGTAGTAGGTATGAGTGTATTGTAAAGTGCAGATGCTATTGTACCTACTGTAGAAGGTAGTTTGTTTAACATTGCAGTAGTCTTTCTTAAGTACATGTTATGTCATTTTCATTTAACGAAGGGTTTAATACTTTTTTATTATACAATAGGATGTTTCAGTCAAACATCTTCTCAAAATGTTTTTCCAACTGTGGTAATAAACTCCCAATGGTGGTCATGTTCCTCTTTATTGTGAGTGGTTCCCAGCCTGGGGGTCTGGATGCCCCACAAGGGATGCAGGATACTATAAATCTGAGATGATAAACAAGATACTGCAGGGAATTAAAAACTAGTACTTTCTACTATTTTTGGCTTTTTTATTGTGAAGTTTTCCCCTTTCAGGCTTGCAAAAACGTTTCAAATCAAGCAATCTGAGAAAATAACATGACTTTTTGAATGAACTGCTGCATTGGGAACCACTGGCCTAGGTAGTAATAGTGAAAAGGTAGTAATTAGACAAACTTCCCTCTCTTTTCTTTAAGACAGCTGTTGTGTTACACTGTCCTGTTTTTGTGTGTTGCTTTCTTCCCCAACAGTCCAGGGTCATTTTCCAACAGCCAGGAGAGAGGAGCTTTCATTCATACTACCAGGTAAATGTGTGTGTGTGTGCACCTGTGTGTTATATATGTGGAGCACATGTACAGTATGTGTGTGCGTGCAATCATTTTCAAGAGGACTTTTGAGTTTAGTGAGTTGGAAATGAGGCCACAATTTGTTTCTTCTCTATAGAAGGCAAACGACTCTGCTGCAATATGTACATTATAAGTAAAATTACAGTAGGCACCATGTAAAGTAGTTGTAGCTTTATAATAGCTAATGTTGCAAAAACTAGAGATGTCAATGAGAGAATGTGATTGACAGATAATGAAAATAACTGTTAGTTGCAGCCCTAGCTTAAACCAAACAAGGGTGCTGTATGAAGTATTGTAAGTAAGGTTTGTGTGATTCTGGTCTTCCACCAGCTGCTCAAAGGAGCTCCAGATTCCCTGTTACGCTCTCTTCACATCCAGAGGGACCCGACAGCCTACAACTACATCAAAGTTGGAGGCCAAATTAAGGTACTCCAAACAATGAACATACAATTCAACCCACATGCAAACAGACAGACCAATAGAAGTGGCATGAAAACCCCAAAAAGCAAAATCGGAGAGAGTGTCAGTGTGACATTAAGTTTGTTTACAGAGGCATAAATACAACCAAGCACACAGCTTACGGATGTGTTTCCTCACCACAGTTTACAACGTTTTGAAAGTATAAAATGTAGTGAAAGTATTTCTGTAATCATCATCACTGTGTTGCTGTACAGAAGAGGTGTCTTTATTTAGACCTCTGCTGTGTGCCGCCATCTTTGCACGAGCTTAATGAGTAGGAACAAAACCACTCGACAGCAACAAACAGCCTGATGTCATGGAACACAATACAACCAAACAGCTGAGGTGGCGGTTTGTACACTGTGTGCCTCAGCGGCTCCTATTTTTATATAACGAGACCTCACAGTTCAGCACCGGTTTGTAATTTAATTAACTGTGGAAATCTGATATCCCGGCTAGATTAATTGGAGGAGAAAGGAAAAGACTTGTTGCTCCGGGAAAAAAACACGCACGAAAAATATAGTCTATTAAAATTTTGATTTGCTTCAGCAGGAAAATGTTTAAAAAGCTGACATTGTCCCCTTTCAGTAATTTGTTGTCATCCTTTTCATTTTGCCTCTCTCTCTCTCTCTCTCTATCCAGTCTGGCATCAATGATGGGGCTGATTTCAAAGCTGTAGCTGATGCCATGAAAGTGATCGGTTTCACGGGGGATGAGATTCAGACTGTTTACAAGATCCTGGCCACCATCCTACATCTGGTAACGCTCCATGATATCAAATCCCCTGCTAATGTCTAACGCCAGCTGTGTCCCAATGCGGGAGTTCTGTGTATGGATTTTAGACAAATGAATGCCATGTTGGAGAAGTGGACTAGTGTCAATGCCAAGATAGTGAGTCAGATCTGAAGGATCTGAAAATGCACCTGTTTGTTTATTTTTTGTTTATTACCACTGTATGCTGGTCCAATGCAAAAGCAGCTCACAATTAATCCTACAAACAATGTTGGTAATGGTTTATTTGTTATAGGGATAATAGAGAAAAAGTTCTAGCAGCAGTTCAGTTAGTGCTATTGAGTTTATATGCCATTGTTATTTTTCGGATGAATTTCCTTGAAAGATGTGCTCAATTTAAGCCCAAGTAAACATTCAGTCAGAAATATGTTAATTTCGATAAGAGTTCGATAAGATCAATACCACTCCCATGTCATACTGTTGAACTAGAGTTGGCAGGCAAATAGCTTAGCTTAACATAAATACAGATAACAGGAGGAGACAGCTAGTCTGGCTCTGTCCTGAGTTAAAAAATGTCGACCTACATCTCCAAATTTTGCAATTAACATGTTATATCTCAAGTTTGTATTATTTATAGACACATAAACAGATATTATCTTAAGTTACAAGATGTCCGAAGGCCAGTGATGAATACACATATTTAGAACAACCAAAGATAAACATTTAGAAGATGAAGCAATACAAAAAGTGAATCAAAAAGCGGTCCCATTACTTTTTTAAAGTTCTTATTTTCATCACTGACTCATGGGCTCATTTGATACTATTTCTTACATGTTCTATACATTTTTTATTATCTGAAGTGGACGTACTTTTGTGCAATTTGAGGGTCATTCAGGCTCCGGTTTCCCCCACCATCAAAACATGTATGTTAGGGGTTAATTCTCCTGCCAGGTAGTTGGTCCCTGGGCGCCGCACTTAGGATGGGTCAAATGCAGAGATCGAAGCATTAATCCATCCTCTCTGGCCTCTCTTCTAGGGCAACCTGACATTCGGGGTAGATGGTGATGTGACCTTGATAGAGAACACAAAGCTGGTGTCTGTGATCAGGGAGCTGCTGTCCACCAAAGAAGAAAACGTGGAGAAGGCCCTGCTCTACCGCACTGTGGCCACGGGTCGAGACGTCATCGAAAAACAGCATACGATGCAAGAGGCCAGCTATGGGCGGGACGCTCTAGCCAAGGTTATTGTTGGGTTGATAGATAATTACATGTTGTTGGTCATTTGTCAGGCACTTTCTCTGTAGTGGGCTGCACAAAAAAGAAAAACATACAACACTGGCCTGCTGATGCCTGGAGGGTTGTGACATTTCGCTAAAGTACTTGGCGATATTTTTTACTGCGATTCACACTGATTCACACAAGCATGAGTCACAATGTTATGACCCCAGACAGAGGCTGGAGACTGTGGAGGAAACAATGTATGTAGGCAGATTGAAGACCAGCGCTGTGGGCTGCAAACAAAAGTCTGACTCACTGATATCGTGACATTTCCCTCGCAGCAGACCCATCTGTAACTGTTAATTGTCCTAGACTACTCTGTGCCCCTGAGCAAGGCACATGCTCACCAGCCAGCAGCCAATTAGTCTACCACTACACACTTGTTACGTCTAACATTTTGTCGTCCTCAGGCCATGTATGAGCGTCTGTTCTGCTGGATTGTGGGACGCATCAATGACATCATTGAGGTGAAAAACTACGATGCCAGAGTCCACGGGAAGAACACAGTCATCGGCGTGCTGGACATCTATGGTTTTGAGATTTTCCAGAACAACAGGTTTGAATGAGACAGAATATTCCACAAATATAAAACATAATATATATATAATAATTTACTTTTATGTCCATATTGACCATTTTAACATGATTTTAGTGGTTGTAACACAACAAGGACCACAGTCTATCTGTATAGAAATATTAAGGCATGTGGTTGCATCCGTAACACATTAACATTACATTCAATCTCCTCTGTTTCATGTGCTGTAGCTTTGAACAGTTCTGCATCAACTACTGTAATGAAAAGCTGCAGCAGCTCTTCATCCAGCTGGTGCTGAAGCAGGAACAGGAAGAGTATCAACGGGAAGGCATCCCCTGGAAACATGTATGGAGGATATTTTTTGGAGTTATTTATTATTCAGAAGAAGTTGGATGTCTCCCAATCTTTCCAAATAGTACAGAGCAAAAATCAGTAGCTTTGATCCTCTGTGTCCTTTTGTTGTTAGATCGATTACTTCAATAACCAGATCATTGTGGATCTGGTGGAGCAGCAGCATAAAGGCATCTTCTCTGTGCTGGATGAAGCCTGTATGAATGTGGGCAAAGTCACGGATGAGGTTTTCCTCCAAGGACTCAATGGCAAGCTGGCCAAACACGCCCACTACACCAGCCGCAAGGTAGGAAACACTAAATGCAGATCTGACTTGTTATTATTTTGACTTTTATGTTTCCAGTACAGGACGTTAGCTGTTTCCGAGGTCAAACATCCAAATGCTTCCTTTCTTTCCATGTTTGAATCTGGTCTGTGATCTGTGTCACACATCATACTCGCCCTCATATTTCCATTCACAGTCACTACAAGCACACTTTTGTTAATTACAATTTTAAGTCATTTCTAAAGCAGAAATGCCAAATAAAGTTTATGCTTCTTGCTTCTCAAATGTAAGAATTTAGCTGCGTGTCTTAATATAGTGAACTAAATATTTTGGGGTTTTGGATAGTTACTTGGACCCACAAATGAATCAGTGAATTAAAAAATAATCAGCATATTAATCTATAATATAAATAATCATGTATTTTCTTCATTTCTTGCAGCCCTATGCTGAATTTGTCTTTTATAGTCAAAAGTAATTGTGGGGGATTTTACAGTGCATGACAGTTGATTGTATCACAGATTTTTTAAATATAATTAAACAAACAAAAGAATAACATGAACAATCAACCTTAATGTAAACACCAAGCAGTGTATCAGATTGTAGCGATGCATGATGATGCTGTTGTAACCTGAGGACAGCAGAGGGCAGATTACACCGTGCAGTAAGTAACCATTAGCGGCAGAGAGAAGAGATTGAACATGATCCTGTTAGTTCTGATAATCAGGAAGGCTTACAGTCTAATTCACTCTAATGGTCTGTGCAGCCAGACTCAACATAAGCCAATTTACTTTGCTAACATCCTCGGTTTCTGTGTGGGATCAGATGGCTTAGAAGAAGGTGAAAGTCACTCATCATCACTGATCTGAGGTCAGCGTATTTCAGTTTCTCTGCAGATGTTGAACACGTAAAAAGAATGTTTGTAACGGCTAATAGGTAGACTTGAAACCACAGCAGTGTTTTTAAATGATAACTGCAGTTTCCATTACGGACACAAGGGGGCATCAGCAGTCAGAGAGAGCGAGAAGGAGTCTGACTCGACACATTGCACAAGTGATGTCACTGCCAGCCAATGGGAGTGTATGGAGCTGGTGCTTTGCTGTGTTAGAATGGGTGCTGGAGAGAGAGGGAGGTGTAGGGGATGTATTTACAAATGTATGAGGGAGATACAGAGAACTGGGTAGAAGAGAGGGAGTGAGATGGTGATGCAGTGAAAATGAATGATGACCAGTCGTAAGTAAACAGACCCCGGTTGCATAAAAACACTTTTAGAGGTTCAGAGGTTGCCTTTGAATTCTCAGCTCAGGATGCCTTAGAAAGAAATTAGCTGCATAAAATCACCATAAGGATTTCCTTAGGACGTTGTAGGGGAAACCCTTTGATCTCTAAGTTTCTGCCCTTAGCTAAGTGTTCCCTTAAGCATTGCTAGAAGGTCCTTTGTAAATATATAAATATAAGGGCCCTATAGCAGTCCTTTTAAAGGGAAATAACATAAGACAGTGGCTGACTTTATGGTGACTGACGACATATTTCAGGACAGGAAAAACCCCACTGGACACTATGAGCAATATAGATTTGACCCTCAGTTTGCACTAGCAACTTTGCAGCCTCTAGCCAAACATTTACAACTCAACTTAATATTAGCTATATTGTTTTATTGTTGTCTTATTTGGTGATCTCCTTTCTTGCTGGTACAGTAATATTTTCATATTTCTTCAGAACTGCATCTATATTTAGTTTCACAACAAGACTGCTTCTGCTTAGGTGTTTTTGTTGTGGCTGGGTTACATTTACTTTGGATTGTGTGCTTGTGCTTTCCATATTCTTCGAGGAGAGAAACATTAACAACAACAACAACAGTGAAGCATAACCGTGGCAACAGAACGGCACATGTGCTGTATTATTACCATAATTACCGTAAATGCCTTATTCCAAACTGGGGGTCTCGCACTCGGACTGGCTCGTTGCTGCTGCTGGTTGTGTCATCTACAAGAAAGTGCAATATTCTGAACATATTTCCATTACTAACATCATATTTAACACAGAAGTTTCTCAACATTTTTCTATCACCATTGTTATATCATCTTTGTTGTCTACAGCCTAACAACAAATAAAGGACTGAATCTTGCGGGCCAGATTATATTGTATTTTGTTTTAGATCCCTTTTCTAAACACTTAAATTGGAGACAACCTAAGAGGCTTTATGCAACACTCCTAAGTGAACCCCACAGCTTAGGGAAATATTTTGCATGAGGAACAAACTTAAAACTTAAGTCAGAAACGTTAGGTAGCTTACGCAACCGGGCCCAGTATTCTGTACATTTCTGCCCAGTGCACTGATACAAATACTTAAATCAACTACAAAGTGAATCACATTGTAAAAAGGGGTATTCAAAGGCAGCTATATGATGTAAAGAGTATTGAGTCAACGCAGTGGGGACTGAATCCTGCAGTGTTACTCTTTACAGTGAGTAAAGTGCAAAATGACAGAGAAACAGTGAATAAAGCAAGGTTGAGTCAAGATGGGGTAAAGATTGTGCTGTGCTGCAGGCTGTATTGATTCGAAAACCTTGCCTTTACTCCCATCATGTTGGAGTCGATGTGCTCCCTGCTGTCGCCCCTCTGCTGCTCTCTGACCCGCTCCTCTGGCAGTTTCAAAGACACAAGAAATGAACGGTTGAAACTTAAAGTGATCCAGCTGTTACTTCCTGGAACCAATATTGGTATAAATCAATATTAGCCAGAGATCTTTTTTTTTTTTTCCCTGTACTGTATGGAGTCCTGTTGCCAGGCAACATTAACATAATGGACTTGTTGTCAAGAAGTAGTGTGAATTGTTGGGGGCTTTAGTAGATCTCCAGGGCATTATTTGGGGGAAGAGTGTATTACCATTTAAATTAACAGTGCATTGTGGCTTCCATATAACTTTTGATCTTGTTGTCATTGAAATAAATCTGTGGGCAAATCTACTGGGGCAAATAAATCCCCCTCCAACCGTTTAGTGTTTACAGGCACACTTAACACTTAATGTAAGTGTTTATGAATGCACAGTATTTGTCAACAATTCTAACTTCTCCTATGTAGATATGTTTTATATTATTACAACAGTTTTATACTCTATTGTTCATTAATTTGTCTTTATTTATTATCTGTTTATACAGCAGCATCCACTGATGGGAGCCCACAGGAGGACTTGACCAATACATTAAAAAAACTTATATCGGCTTAGAACATCATTATATGTGAAATATATAGTGCTTATTAATGCTAAATAGGGACAGTTGTACAATACTAGGAACTGTAATTGGAGTTTTTCATTAGATTTATCATTTTTAACGTCATGAAATGATACTCAGAGAAACAATGCTATAGTTACAAAGCACATATAAAAGTTATTATTCATGCTTATGATTCTGTTTCCTTCACCAGAACTCCCATCCTCGGAGGTAGCATAGTGGATTCATACAATGAACACAATAGAGCCACATTGGTTGAATGAAACCTTTAATTGTCCAGTACATGAATGAGCTCCTTTTTTGTGGTTTATGGTGATTAATTATTGTCTGTGGACTATTGAGAGATGTTTTTTTGTGTCTTGATTGATATTAGCGTGAATCATTTTGAGGGTGATTCACTCTCTTATTATGAGCAATGTGACTGCCATGTGTATTTAGACATTTTGTTCTCAGCATCACTCAGTGGTCATAGTAATACTTGCAGTCTTTTTCACCCAGCTCCCAAAGGTATCCTTATAGTAGAGATTGAATGCATCTGTTATTGACTGAAATGGCTGCTCAATCGAGACTGGGTGTTGTTTGCACTTTGAAATTGAAATATGAAATTGTGAAGAATCTAATTTCCAGTGTGTGATGTAGGCGATGATTTACTTTATATATATATCACTGGTGTCGGTATACTATTTGGATCCATTTTGCTCCTTTCTGGTTTGTATCTTTAAAGTGCATTTTATAGTATTTTTATCACTTTCCAATTGCTTTTGTGAGGGATTCTTTAATTTCAATAGTGGAGAAGAACTTTGAGATTGCTGAATTGCTTTCAACCATAGAAAAAAAAAGAAAGGAGTACTCTCTATGTATATTAGTGTGACCCAAAATAGACATCCTAACCCACACTCATGATGCAAATTAGCTCTTGGGAAAGTTTTGAAAATTTCAAGGCTGTGAGGGTACAAAGTGTACATGAGCTCTGCAGACTTTAAACACCCACCGTTGCTCTCTAGCCTCGTAGCTCACATCTCCACAAGTCTGTCTGCCAGGATAAAAGTGTGAAGGTGGAAAAAAAGATGAAGGGGGAGAGAGAAGGAGAGGTGCACAGGGAGAGACTGGGAATTAAATGTAAGAGGAAGTGAGATATGCACATCAAGGGAGAGAAAAGGGTTGAGGCACGGAGAAAGGGAGAATAAAAACCAGAGCAATATACAGTCAGTGAGGACTGATGTAGCACCTGTATTTGTGGTGTAATTTTAGTATATTTCTTATATTAACAATGGATCAAATTACTATATAATGTAAAATTGGTGTCTTTTAGTGATAGAACCAAAGAATTACGACCCACATCTGCAGCTCCCCTCGTGGTTTTCTGGTCCACAAACTTTGCTCTGATCAGCTTCATTTCCAGCAGCAGCTGCAGACAGCTCCAATAAACCCACTGCACACGATCTGCCCAGCACCAAATGGCACACAGACGGTGTTAGCAACAAAGAGCGAACAACAAACAGCGTTTAGCATCTAAAAAGGTGAAAAAGCTTTTCTCAGGAGTTGGTGTGGACAAATTAACACTTGAATTTAGTTTTGTAGTGGACATTTCCCACAACAGCTATAAGGGTTGCATTTACAGCTTGTTCTGTTCCACCCAAGTGGTCAAAAACTCAACAATACAACATTTTTTCAGTTTCAGAGCCAGAAGCAGCCAACTCATACAATAGTGTGGATAGTTAAACTCTAGGGTTGCAATGTTATTAGACTGTACACTGTATGATAACCATATCAGAAAATATCCAAATT